TAACACATTTACAATTCATTATAATTGTAAGAAGGATTTTGCACAACCCATGTATCTATGTAAATCTATATCCATCCATGGATCTGATGTTTTTCTTTCATAATTTTTTTCCTTTCCAACTACGGATACTGTTTTAAAAATACATCTGTAGATTAAAATGAAAAAAAATAAATAAAGCCCCCCCCCCAAAAAAAATGGGGGTAGTAAGAAGTAAAAAGGTAGATTTATAGTGATTAATTATTATTTATAATACTACTATTTTTAAAGTGATAGTAATAAACATGGGACCATTTCAGGGGTAATTTTCTATATTTTTAGAGTTTGCAATGTGGCTGTCAATAAATAAATTATTTGGAGGGTTATTATTTGTCACAGAGGAGGAGTGATAATACAATAAATAGTAATTAATAATGTTGACGTTATGGTATGACTAATTAATAAGATTAATATAGTACTTAGATGTATACAGAGTGTCCCGTAAGTAGAGAGACATATTTAAAAGATTGATAGTAGACACTAATATCTACAAAAAAGTTCTTATAAACAATTGTCCAATTTCCAGCAGAATAGGAAAGTAGGAAATTCAGGATTTTTTCAAGCGATTTCCTGTTGAATGGGAACCGAAAACATAAAAAATATTTAATTTGAGTAACTAAACTAACTAAATTGCTCCAGAGTAAACTAGACAATATTTACTTTAAACGAAAGGAGAGTTAGTCATTGTTACAGCTATTTAAAGAGGACTACTTAGCGGACAAACACAGCTAAGTTTCGTTTACAAAAATGTTCATATAAACAATTGCTCAATTTCCAGCAGAGTAGGAAAGTAGGAAATTCAGGATTTTTTTAAGCGATTTTGTGTTGAATGGGAACCGATAACATAAAAAATATTTAATTTAAGTAACTAAACTAATTAAATTGCTCCATACTAAACTAGACAATATTTACTTTAAACGAAAGTAGAGTTAGTCATTGTTACAGCTATTTAAAGAGGACTACTTAGCGGACAAACACAGCTAAGTTTCGTTTACAAAAATGTTCATATAAACAATTGCTCAATTTCCAGCAGAGTAGGAAAGTAGGAAATTCAGGATTTTTTTAAGCGATTTTGTGTTGAATGGGAACCGATAACATAAAAAATATTTAATTTAAGTAACTAAACTAATTAAATTGCTCCATACTAAACTAGACAATATTTACTTTAAACGAAAGTAGAGTTAGTCATTGTTACAGCTATTTAAAGAGGACTACTTAGCGGACAAACACAGCTAAGTTTCGTTTACAAAAAAGTTCATAAATTAATTGTGATATATTGTTATCATCCTACAGAACTTTACTACAGTTACTTCACATTTAAAAAGCTTTAAGACCATGTTAATTGAGTTGAGGTTTATTAGAAAAAAAAGTTGAAATTCACCTCAAGTTTTGTAAAGAAATAGTTAACTTAATATAGACTCAAAGCCTATTAAATGAGAATTTTTTTGTAAAAGTAGGATAAATGTAGCAAACTTAAAGAGTGATAAAAAAAATCACTAATAATTTATGACGTTTTTTTAAACTGAACTTAGCTGTGTTAGTCCGCTCAGTAGTCCTGTTTAAATAGTTTTAACAATGACAAACACTACTTTCATTTTAAGTAAATTTTGTCTAGTTTACTTTGGAGCAAGGTTTACATGCTTAAATCAAATTTTTTTTTATGTTATAGTTTCCTATTCAATAGAAAACGTGACTCGCTTAAAAAACACGAATCATAAATTTCCTACTTTTTTGCTGGAAATCGGGCAATTGTTTATATGAGGTTTTTGTAGATATCGATGTCTACTATCAACCTTTTAAATATTTCCATTTACTTACGGGACACCCTGTATACATTTAAGTATTCTAAGTATGAAGGATACTAATTAATCTTATAAATTAGTAATACCATACCGTCAACATTATTAGTTACTATTTATTGTATTATCACTCCTCATCTGTGACAAATAATAACCCTCCAAATAATTTATTTATCGACAGCCACATTGCAAACTCTAAAAATATAGAAAATTACCCTTCAAATGGTCGCATGTTTATTACTATCACTTTAATTAATTAATTAATCGTCGATAATCACTATAAATCTACTTTTTTATCTCTTAATACCCTCACTTTTGTTGGGGGAGGGGAGGGGGAGCTTTAGTTATTTTTTCATTTTAATCTACAGATGTATTTTTAAAACAGTATCCGTGATTGGAAAGGAAAACAATTCTGAAAGAAAAACATCAGATCCACATTCACATTGATATATGGGTTGTGCAGAATCCTTCTTACAATTATAATTTGCTGACGATACAGCAATCCTCAGTTCAGATAGAAATCCTATTCGAGCATACTCCACTCATCAAAACCACTTGAACGATATTGCTGATTGGGCCACAAGGTAGAAAATTAAAATGAATGAAAAAAGAAGTGTGTACGTAGTATTCACTCTTAATCATACCGCTTCCCCCAAAATATATTTTAATAACATTGAAATTCCTGCCTCCGATGTGATTAAATATTTGGGTTTTAACCTCGGCAAAAGACTAACTTGGAGGACACACATTACAAAAAAACGTATGAAATTAAACAGACGTTACGGTCTTTTATATAGGTTACTTGACAGCCGTTCAAAATTATCTTTGACTAACAAATTACCACTCTATAAAGTTTTACTAAAACCAATTTGGACTTATGGCATAGAACTGTGGGGTTCTGCTAAAACTTCTAATATTAAAAAAATCCAGTCTTTCCAATCCAAAATTTTAAGAATAGTTGACGCACCATTTTATGTCGCAAACGAGATCACATAAAGACTTTAACATCCCAAGAATTTTAGACACTACAAAAGAAAACTACAGTAATTTCACCAAAGACTAACTTACAACACAAATCCTCTGACAGAAAACCTTAAAAGCACTAGAAACCCGTACAGCCCACCTCGACGATTGCGTAGGCAGTGGCCAAGAGACCTGCTGAACTGAACTATTTCCTGGATTGTGATGGGACACTGTGAAGCTGCCAAAAAATTTGCTTATTGCAAAGAAATTTGCTGATCGCAAATTTAATTTTTATGTATTAATAAATAACAATTATAATGAATTGTAAATGTGTTATTGTATGTTTGTGTATGGTGATATATTTTATAAATATTTTAAACTCACACATATTATTAAAAATATGGTGGAACACGAAAATTATTATTGTTTAAAAATAAAAGTTTAGAAAATTTATTAACTTTTAAAATGCTGTAGTTAAAAATCTATTAGTTTTACAGCTACTAGAAGCTACCCAGGTCACAAACTGTAGTAAATTTAATTTACGTAAAGCATAAGTAAAACATGACTTATTTTATGTTTATTTATTCTATATACTTTTTATTATTATTTAGCTGTTATTTTGTATCTGTTTATTTCATTTTATTTTTATGAGAAAATACAAATATAGCTCTGGAGCCAGGGCCCAAAAATTGACCTGATCGCAGGCGAAGGTTTGATTGTAAATTACGAAAGTTTATGTTATTCTGAGTAAAAAAAACCTTGTCTACTGTTCCAGCGCCGCTGCTTTCAAAAATGGCGGCTGATTTAAAGAATATTAGGCCAGTGATTTGAGGATCGAAACGGGAAATCCATTGCGAAAAATGTGAGAAAAGTTTTTATTTTTTTAACTTGCATATATGGGTTTAGACATGTAAAAAACAAAATTGCAAACGCGGGTCACCAAGGAAAAACTTTTTACAGCCAAAAAAGTCAGATTTTTTCGATATTTTTTGGGTTTTTGACCTATAACTCCTAAACAATGCATCAAAGCGAAAAATGTATTCCTTAATAAATTAAAGAACGTTAAATTTTGCGTCAAACGAGTACATAAACTTTAAAATTTGGTTACGCGGTAAGGTATTAAACCACGGTCAACCAACGCTGAATTTTACCAAAATTGTCAAAAACTGAGACAAATTACTATAAATGGCTCTGTAACTTGAAAATCAGTTTCCTAAGAAGAAAAACACATAGAATCAAAGTTGTAGAGCATCAAAGTTTGCGTCCAGTGAGTGCTGACATTTTTATTGTAGGCCAATTATATATCTCATATCGGGATTCGTTAGTCCTTTATAAAATTCGGAATCTTTCGGCACATCGTTTACCAAAATCTTTTGCTATTGAGAGGTGGACAAGAAGCTTATACTCCATGTAACAGACTTTAAACAAAACCAACTCAGTAGAAAAGACACCCATACTGTTGAAATAATGAAAATTACGTTTATCTTCATTACCAATTTCTAACTATCGAGAGATTAACGATTTTTTTCGCAGCCAGTGACATACATTAAATTAGTTGGTACTCAATATACGCAAACTTTGATGCTCTACAACTTTGATTCTATGGGTTTTTCCTCTTATGGAACTCATTTCCAAGTTACAGGGCCATTTATAGTAATTTGTCTCAGTTTTTGACAAATTTGGTAAAGTTCAGCGTTGGTTGACCGTGGTTTTATACTTTACCGCTTAACCAAATTTTAAAGTTTAGGTACTCGTTTGAAGCAAAATTTAACGTTCTTTAATTTATTAAAGAATACATTTTTCACTTTGATGCATTGTTTAGGAGTTATAGGTGAAATATCCAAAACATATCGAACAAATCTGACTTTTTTGGCTGTAAAAAGTTTTCCCTTGGTAGCCCGCGTTTGCAATTTTGTTTTTTACATGTCTAAACCCATATATGCAAGTTAAAAAAATAAAAACTTTTCTCACATTTTTCGCAATGGATTTCCCGTTTCGATCCTCAAATCACTGGCCTAATATTCTTTAAATCAGCCGCCATTTTTGAAAGCAGCGGCACTGGAACGGCAGACAAGGTTTTTTTTACTCAGAATAACGTACACTTTCGTAATTTACAATCAAACCTTCGCCTGCGATCAGGTCGATTTTTGGGCCCTGGCTCCAGGGCTAAAAGTAACTATAGAATGGTGATAGGATACTCACTGAGAGACGCAGGTAGCGTGGTGGCCCTGGACATGTCGAGGTAGGCGGGGGGCGGGGGGCCCAGCCTCATGAGCAGCTTCAGCCTCTCCTCTTCGGCCCTCGGGGTCAGCTTCTCCCGGCAGAGGGTCTCTCCGAGGAAGCTCCGCACGTCTGCAAAAGAGAAGTTCATTTCAGTAAGATGGCGCTTTCACTGCGCTTTCTTGCGCCGCACGATCTCGGCATTAGCGGCTATCCATAAGCCCGCTCTTATCACATCTCTCTTAGTCAATTGATGTGATTCGCCACAACTCTTGCCCAATCCACCGAGGAGGAAGCAAAATATTTTTCCATCTGGGAGGTAATTTATTTTTTACTCAACATTCAAGAATCCAATATACTTTCTATCTACGCAACTAACTAATGATAACCAATTGGCTCGAACGAATGTTTTTACTATCTCTATCAAAAGAGTAGAATCCGTGTAATAGTTCGTAGCTCTACAATACAGACGCCCTTTTATTGAATTATTAACATCCGCCTAAAAACTTCAGAAATAGTTTTATCTCGTCGTAACCTACAAATATTTTATTTACGAAAACTCTTGAAATTGAGGCGTTTCCAATCTGGAGGGGGGAAGGACAAACTTTGTCTATTTAATTAGGTACTAAAAACTTGTAAATACACATTTGCTTTCTACTTGGATCGTAAGATCATTTGATAACAAAATCGAGAAAAAAGGTAGCCTTAAAAAATATTGAGGCATTTGGCGTGACCTACACCCCCAAATTTTCAAAATAACGAGGTTATATAGAACAAACGGTCCAATATTTTTGTAGGCCGCCTTTTATATCTATTTTGAGATCAAATTACGTTACGATCCAAATAGAAAGCAAATGTGTATTTACGAGCTTTTAGTACGTAATTAAATAGACAAAGTTTGCCGTCCTCCAGATTGAAAACGCCCCAATACCAAGAGTTTTCGTAAATAAAATTATCTACGAAGTTTCAAGCGGATGTTAATAATTCGATAAAAATGGGTCTGTAGCAAGGACTGTAACCTATTGTTTGCAAAATGGAATTTGAAAACTCCGTGATAAAACTTTTTTAAATTTTTAGAACGTCTTTTTCGGCCTCTGTAAACTAAGCTATTGGTGCATATTTAAATTTAAGAAATATAGGCTCGACTGCCTTTCATCTTTACTGATATTACGCTATAATGAACTTAATTTATATTTCTCAAAGTTAAGTCTACAGTTTTTGTTAGAATATCTCTGAGATTTTCTTTGATGTGCACCGAAATTAATATCATGTATATTTATAATTCATGATCGAGCCTTTATATATCCGCAAAACTTTGCTATAGAATGACAAATCAACATTGACTCATCCAAAAATAGGTGAAAACGCATCATTCTCACATAACTTTCAATAGATTTTAGAAAATTTATGGTTTTCTGTCTATTTTCATAATTTATATTTACGATTTATAAAGAACAAAATGTATCTTTTTCATATAAAACAAATATGACATGAAATATAGTACAAATAATAACTAAGGGGACGAAGCATTACAAAAATATTGGGAAATGTTTGAATATCTAAAATCTCTACTTCTAATTTAAATAGTTAAAAGGAACATTTATTTATATTTGATTTAAAATAAAAACTTAATTATATGCTAATTGTTAATAGAGCAATTTCAATATATGCAATATTCAGTGAATGGAAATAGTTTATCAAACTCAACGAACGGTATGTGTGAAAGCGCCCGCATATGAAAACAAACTATTACGATAAAAATGATAATTGTTCGATCAATCCAATGTTTCATCATGTAGTAACAGAAGATTTAGTTTTCCAAGTAATAATAACAAATAAAAACTTATTGCTTACAAATTTTGAAATATATTAGACTTTGAAAATAGCTAAGTAATTTAATTTTTTTTTTTTTTCATAAAATAACTTCTGTTCTTCCGTCGTGATTTTTCTTCCTCATTGCCATCAAAAACTATTTTTCCCTGAAGGAAATCCCTTTAAAAAAATAAGAAATCTCTTATATCGAAAGCCGAACACGCTGTCTCGTTGGACTAACAAAAACAAATTGTTTAATCAAGCGTTGGCATTGTCCTTCTAGGATATCTGCCCGTAACGTTTCAATACTATTGTCTCTTTTTTATTTACATCACTTTAAAGAGAAATCCATTTACAAACCATTCCAGGGAATACTCTTAAGAAATCCGTTTCTATCTTTAAAAAATACCAATTTAAAGCAAAAAATAAAAAATAAATAGCGTTGACCGAAACAATAAAAATTTGATATTATTGGCCATATAATTACTGAACTATTAACAATGAAAACAATTTTCAAAACCGTTAGAAAAAATCACTAAAATAATTATGTACGTTGAAAGCATGTCGCATACTCTTACATACTACGATATTATTGGGTTGGCAAATATGTACATTCGCTTTTTCAGGGTGAAATAGAACTCAATGTATTATAGACATGCAATTTATTTTAATCTACAATATATTGACCATTATTTAATATAACTTTTTCTCATCTTTTTACAAACTGCATATAGCCATTTTCATAAAATGTTAAGTTTATTGTTAAAAAACTGATCCAAGTGGTTTTTTATGTCCTCTTCCTTTTGAAATTTCTTTCCATTCATGGAGTTCTGCAGAGACCGGAATAAATGGTAGTCACTTGGACCTAGGTCTGGTGAATAGGGAATGTGGGACAAAAGATTCCATCCATGGCTCATTGCGAGTGATCAATGAGGTGTGGGGCCAAACTTTGTCATGGTGGAATACAACACCCTACCGATTTGCCAGTGTTGGGCGTTTATTTTTAATTGATTGATCCAATTTTGTTAATTGTGAGCAGTGTAGAGTTGAATCAATTGTTTGTCCTGATGGCAGTAGCTCATAGAAAACACCCTTGACAACCCGCCATATGGAAAGCATTATCTTCTTTGGATTTAACCCGGGTTTTGATATTCTTCTAGGAGCCTCAGTACTCGGCCCCCAAGATTTTCTACGGACTACATTATCGTAAAATACCAAAAAAATACCATTTTTTTAAATACCAATTTTTTCAAAAATGGGTCGTTTCGTTGCCGTTTCCATAGTTAATAACAAACAGAAATGTGTGTAGCCAAGTTGACTTCAGTTAAAGAGTGAGAGACCATAACTCTTAAGCCTGGAAACAGCCGAGGTTGTGTAAATGGTTTTCTACGCTTGTATGCAACACATTTACGGCCATAGCAATCTCTCGCACTGATTGGGTGGGATCACCAATGGCCTTAACATTGCCTTTTAATGTTTTTTACACTTTGTATTTAAAAAAAAAAACAATTTAAATTTCATGTGGAATACCAGACCGTTGAGAATCCTTGATGTAAAAATTCTCTGAATGAAATTTAGCAAACCAATTTTGACAGGTGAATGCGGTTAAGGCATCACCCCCACAAACACTACAAGTTTGTCTATGAGCTTCTGCTGCACGGTTAAGTTTGTTTTTTTATTAATACAACAAAATAAGCCAATAATGAATGATATTTTCTACCATATCCAAAGTGAAATAGCAAACACAATACTAAGCTAGTTTCAACAAGAGTTAACAGATATAGTGGTTGACATATTACAAACCGAATAAACAATCCACTATAGGGATTAATTCATCAGATAAGTGATGTTCTATAGTGACATAAAAATAAACAGAAAAACCAAAAGGACTTATTTGCCAACGCAATATATACATACATACACATACACACACCTATATATATGCAAATATACATACTACGATTTTATAAACCACAAAATATTACTGTTATTTACTAATTTATACTTCAACGGTAAAATTACTATGAACCAAATCATATCTGGATTCAGCTAATGTAAGCAATGTAGAATATTAGAATATTCTAAACAAAGCCTCAAGTCTCTCAAATAGCTCTCAAAGCGTGTTGTGCTTGTTTTTTCTTTTAACTAGAGACAGTAAAAAATCTTCTCCTTAATTAATTCATACAAACCAAACATTCTCGTATTTGTTTTGTTTTTCGATTCAAATTATATATAATAACAGGATTGCTACAAAAGTTGTAAGATAAAGTGAACAAAATATACCGGGCGAAAGCGAAACTACCAACGACGTAATAGATATTCTTTTGAAAGGATTGTTTTCTTTGAAATGAAGTGAGGTGTGATCCGTGGTTCCTGTTTCGACAAGGGGAACATTAAGAAGAGCAGTTGGATTTTGAAGACAAGGACCTGAAATGAAAAGGATATGGCGACTAATAAATCGTGCGAATAAAGTGGCAGGTAGATTTCTCAACATGGAGGAAGCCGATTTAGGAAGTTATGTAAGCCATCACATCGGGCTTCACTTTCTTTCGTGAAGAAGAGTTATGCTTTTGCTTATCCAGTTCTCATATTCTTTACGGTGTGGGAATTTTATTTATATTTTCTCCCATAGTTATCAATGGTTACCTTTGATCATTAAATCGAACACACACCATTTACATGAAGTCAATTTATAATGGAAATGTGATTGCTGATTAATAATTATAATAAACAACATAATACAGTTACAAGAGACGATTCAAAACTGGTAGTTTTATGAACTAAACTAAAACAAACCTTAGTTTAGAATTAGCATTCATTATTTATTTTCTTAATCAATGTTCTTGGCTACGAATGGATATCCAAAACATCGAAAGAAAAATTGACCAGAAATTATAACTTATTTAACTGCTGTGTTTGCTAATCCTTTGCAATTCAAGCCGTCTCCTTTTGGAATTCTATATCTTCCGATATCCAAAATGCAAAATCAGTTTCTTCATTTAAATCTCTCCTTTTTAAGCACCTATTCCTTTTCCAATCCGTCTGATCACGAAAGAGAACTCCTTAAGATCCCCCAGAAACCATGTTCTTTACTCCTTTGTGTATTCTAGAGAGCGGGGTAGCTCAGTGGTAGGGCACTCAGCTTCCAATGCTGAAGGTCCCAGGTTCGAATCCCGCCTCATGGCAGAAAAATTATTTATTCTGCTTCATTGGACGTGGGGCGATCCTGAGACAGGGAGACTCTCCTGTGACACACCCAGCCTTTAGAAAGTGGGTACTCTTAGTTAAATAATTAATCAAGGGGGAAAACTTGACGGTTG